ACGTCCACATTTCGGATTTTTTACTGTTTTGAAGGCATTATTATTACAAGCGATATCATATCGAGGCATTATTATCATCGCAATGTCATCCAATTTACTTTTATTATTGCGGAGCTTATTTTATATCTGCTTTTCGTTCGACGAAGTTCCCGCGCTATTCACTATCTTTGATCTATCCTATCCTTGCCTCGTATTTATCGGACTTCCTCCCGAGAGCGCGCGGTTGCGAGATTTCCTTCCTCCTGATCTCTCTCCTCGCCAAGTTGTCTGCTGCTACGCTCCTCTTCGAGTTACCGTAAATTGTTCTACTTAGCTAAGACGAGTAGTGACCCTCCCGAGCGAAGTTTAATTAGCTTTTAAATCCCTGCCGCTCATTATGCCCTCCTTTTTCTCCTCCAAATTGAAGGGACGGGGGGGTTAGCTTCTTCTCTTATCGGCCAACTTCTCGCGCAAGTAATCGCACGGAAAGGAAAAAGGAAGCGCGCCCTTTTCAGCAAGAAATACAACCGGGTAAGGAATTTCCACCGTGAACGACACACCGAAAACCGATCGGCGATCGGTTTCGATTTAATTGGCCGGCGGATACTTTTACTCGCTCGACGCGAGTAACACAAGTAGGGACAGTGCTCGATAAGCAACGCTGCTGTCTGTGATAATTAAACAAGAACTTTACACTGACAAAGAAACGAAGATTGATACCGATAATTAATTCTTAGATCCCCTCGTATTCTTAGATTTTCGCATTTCTACGTTCGTTATGTTTCTAGTTTCTTGAATTTCCTTTCAACGTTCTTGATTTTCTAGATTAGTTCTCTATTCAAGTTCTTTTTTTTTTTTTTTAGTAAAGTGAGTAAAATTTACAGGAAATTGTCGACGTTTCTCTCGTCAGTCTTTTTATTTGGTGTTAGCTTCCACACGTCAATATCTGTTGAAAGTAGAGGAAGGTGGGGTAATTCGAACCACCCTAAGCCTTTTTCAAGACAACTTGAAGACTATTAAAGATAACTAAACTTTGTTTTCGCTTTTCACAACGTGTTTCTAACAAATTTTTTTATTTATAGTAAATATTAATGTTATAACAACTTTTTCGAAGATATATTTTTGTAAGGTAAATTGAACCATGTTGGGCAAGGTGATACACTTTATTAATCTTTGTAATTTTTCTCGTTAATTTTAAGGCATATTAATAATGAAATAGTTAATATAATAATTGTTATATTACATATTTATTATATTCTAATTTATTACAAACTCTAATTTTTGTGCTCTTTGTAACAATTTCATACAAATATATGGACATGTTTAAAACTTTTACTCACAATAATACGTAGAATAAGTTCATCTACTAACCTTACGCTGTAAGCGATACACACCAAATCTTCAGTTTTAATTTTTAACTTTATGACACGTTGTGCCACGCTGCCGCTTTGTACATTAAATTAGGGAGTTAGCAGCTAGTAATTCCACTACTGCCCGCTAGGTTGTGACACTTATATTACAAATATCGTGATGGTTCAAGTTGCTCGCGTGGTTTACATTACCCCAACTTCCTCTAAGATAAATTGATCCCGAAAAATAATCAGTATATTGAATCAATTTTGATAAGATATATAACTGGTACGAACGTTTAATACGAGAGAAAGACATTCTTACTAAGCTATCGCTAGTCATTTCCGGCGACACATAGCGCGTCTTTAGCGTCCATCTTTTGATTTATCACAACGCGCGACCACCCGCGGGGTAGGCAGCCGTGTCGGAAGGCTCCTCTATACGCGGCGATGATAAATCTCGGGCACTCTCGGCTACAGGCGCCGCCGCTAAATCTGCGCGAATCACGCAGTGTGCGGCCGGTATCGCTGTAATAAATCGCGCTTCGATCGCAAAACCGTCTTGTAATACACGTACCGCGCGAGAAAAAAGATCTAGATATAGTAGGATTTATCCTCTAATTCCCGCGGGAATTAAATCCCCGCGGATTGAAGCGCTTCAGAAGAAAATAGCGTATACGAGATCAACACCGAGTTGGTAACTTTATAATAATTTCGAAAATGACATTCAAAAGAAAAAGCTGTATATCTTATAATTTTTTAATAAATGAAATATTAAAAATAGTAATTTGAAAATTATGTTAATGCAACTTAAATAGAAAGTACAGTATTGGTGATAAATACACAGAAAAAAAGAAGCGTAAAATCAACATTGATATACATACTTGTATATACGCAAGAATCCTATATATTTTTCTTATAAGAATTTCAACTTTTTATTTCAACTTTTTTTTCTTGATTGAGAACTACATAAAACTTCGTTTAACTGTATAAATGACTTCATTCAAGCAAGTTTTCTTCTCGTTTAACGCAATATAATCTCATTTCAAGATTATATATATTCTCGCGTATATGCAAGTATATTTAGAGTTAATTTGACACTTCTCTTTTTTCTATGTAATCTGAAAAAATTGCGTAGTATCTAAAATTCTCTCGACAAGGAATGCCGTGTCGTTACAACGCAGCAACCGACATACCAGCATATCGCCCTAAATTTCAACCAATAACCGTTTCACCGTAGAGAATTCCAGCCGTATCCATGCACGGAAGCAGCCAGTTTTACGTTCGAATGACTTTCCGTTCTCGGCGAAAGAGATAGAACATAAATGAACCTCCACTTTTGTAAAATACTAACGCCGTTTTGTGTACATTTATAATATACAACTTAAATAAAAAAAGTTATAAAACTCTCTTCTCTTGCTTTTTTCTTACGCAAAAAAAATAAATAAAAATAAAATATATATATATTATACACTGAGAAAAAAAAGCTGTTGCTTCAATTGAAGTGCTATCACGGGGTGCCAAAAACATAATTAGTTTATTCAATTGTATTATTATTAGACCCAATATCTGGATAAATCAATAATTAAATTATTGGTTTCATAATCCAGATTGGGTCTAATAATAATACACTTGAATAAACTACTTATGTTTTTGGCACCCCGTGATAGCATTTTAATTGAAGCAACAGCTTTTTTTTTTAGTGTATCTAATAATAAAAACTAGAATAATATATAATAATAAATATGATATACATTACATAACAAATATAATCATATAACATTTAAATTGGAAACAATAAATATGATATAAAGCACTGATGCTTCGAGAGAGAAACAAAAGATATGACATCTCATCGTTTTGGCACAATCCCGCGGCGAGAACATCGTCCCGTTGTGCATTATGGAACGGCGAATATGGCGAAGATCCTTATGATCCTTCTTGCTATCAACTTGGCCCGCAAAATAAGTACGCCCGAGATTCGGCTTATTCTGAATAATATATCAAACTTATGAAGGCGGCTTTGAGGTCGACGTCGCGGCAAATCCTTATATTATAAAGTAGAAGGACGAACGGACGAAATTGCATTTCGGCGACCCATGTGTCTAAACGATTACACGTATTTCGATAAAATCCGATAATCCGCAAACGAGGATTTCATGTGACACACGTGTGGTGAAGGCAAGAGCGAGATCGAGAGAGGGAGAGAACAAATATGTTATGCTCCGTAAGTATAGAAAAAAGATTTTAGATCCTGTATCAAGGACTCAGAAAATTACAAGATCTAAAAATTTAGGGCATTGCCTGCTCTCTCTCTCTCTCTCTCTCTCTCTCTCTCTCTCTCTCTCTCTCTCCCGCTTTACCCCTTCGAAAGTTTCTAAACTGTAAAGAGCTAAACTTCCAGTTATAAAATCCATCTAGGCGAGGTTCCTAGACAGCATCTACCCTTTCCTCATCCTCTTTGTGTCTGCGAGATGAGCTAAGTTTATTATCGTAAATGAGATGATTCTGAAGAGGAGCTACCCATCTACGGAACCAGCTACCCGCGTCCCGAGGGGGATTGCCTCAAAGCCTTCTTATCGTAGATTTAACACGTCGTTACGTCCCGTGAATACGCTGTGAATACATGTGCGTAGACGCAAAGCAGATAATTCGGATACAAAACTAATTTTGCGAACCCCTTACGCGCATTAAGCTCGCCGGCGACTTCCTCCGAGAGTTTCGTGCATTTATCTGGAACTCCGAATTATGCATTAAAGTAGATTTGTTTAGCTTGAGAGAAAGTTGAAATTTGTAAAAAATTTGCAAAAAATGGTTGAACTGGATTAAAGTTAAATTCAAGTTTTGCATCAAAATTGAGTTCTACCCAACTAGGGCCAAATCAGTTTCATTATTTCAACTTTAGATTTAACTTGAACTAATAATTGTTTATATATATATATATATATATATATATATATATAAAGAATTAATTAATAGCATTAATAGAGCCAGTTGTAAACATTATTTTAAGATTTTGAGAAATAATATAAAATAGTTACTTGACAATTTAATATATAAAATTATTGAAAAAAAACTTTTACAGATTTTTATTTCAAAACAACATAAACTTGTTAAAATTTCGTTAAACTTATTAAAATTTTTTGTCGCCAGATTTATTTCATGTATAATTCCAGTTTTAATATTTCTTCTGCAATTCATACAAAGATCGACGCATGCAATATCGCTATTATTTATCAAATTGATCTCGAGAGCACATCTTTCAAACTACGAAAGTTCGTGCTTTCCGCGTTCTCGCGGATCAATGAGCAAACAAGCATCCGGAGCGCAAGTATCCTCGATCCTCTCAACTCGATGCACCTCTCTACTTCTAGACAGCCGTGCATATGCGGACAAATTTCAAACAACAGAGACGATTTGACGAAAACGAAAGTTTTCGCCTCGAAATTTGCTTCACCTTGGCGGCGCGCGGCGTGGCGCTCCGTTCGAAGATTCATCCGCGATTTAATTTTAGAAGAGCTCTTCGCGCATATGAGCCAGCTCAGTCTACTCGTAAGTTTCGTCGAGACAAAACGAATTTTCGACGTGTGCCTTTGTCGCGAAAGAAATAACATAAGTGTGTCTGATTATTCAACAATCGTCAATGTCGGGCTTTAATTTATATATATATATATATATATATATATATATATATATATATATATATATGTGACACTTTTAACAGTTTTAATTGTCCAATCCAAATTGTTCGGCGATAACGATGTGATTGGAATGTGGAGTGTAATTACTCAAATTAAATTTATCATTGTTGTTAAAGGAGATACGTGAATCAGGAATACGTGAAAGGAAGCGAGATTTATTGTTGCCGTGCTATAGAAATCTTTTGTCGGACATGCGAAAAGGGGTAAAGAGTCCGTCCTCGACTATTTTTGCGACGCGAGAACCTCTAAAAATAGAAATTGTTGTACAACGTAACAGCGTAACAATTTGCCGCAATTTCGGGTATACATTTTTGCCCGAAAAAACAATTTTTTTTACAAAATTCGTGAAATAAAATTTTTTTCCGAACAAGAGATACAATAGCGGTATGATAACGGAGGCGGGATAACCGTGGCGGGATTTTCTCACCTCTCGAAAAATCTATCATAAACATCGGCGAAAGTAAAAAGAAGTATTAATGATGGATGCGGTGAATTCCTATAAGCTTATCCACCACAAGCGGTCGGCAAAATAGGATTTGCCGCAATAATCGCTTACGCTCGCTCGTTCAATCCTTAATCCCTTAACAACGCCAGGAAATAAAAAAAATTTGTCAAAAATATTTTATTTTATACGCTATTGTTGCGGAATATGAATGAAGTTGACCTCGTTAGAAAATATACAAATTAAAAATATATAGATAATATATTTAATACACCGCTGTATAAATATACTGTATAATTTTTTTTATCTTAAAAAATACCTTTTAATAAAATATCTTTTAATACATTTTGTTTGAATATTACAAAGACAAAAAATACTCTAATAAATGTTTTCCTGTTTGACGAACATGTAAATAGGGAAATAAAACGAAACGTTCACGCGTGCAGTGGCAACATATCGAGCGCATCAACTGTTATTGAGTTCTCACCCTGAGAAGCGCTCGTCGATGCGAAAATGTACAATTCGGCTCTGTTCGTCGAGGAGGCTGTAGTTGTCATCGTCAACGTTAAAAATAACGTTGACGGCTTTTTCACTAGTGTGAATCTTCTCGCAAAAATTTCCAGGAAAACTTTGATAACATCTTTTTCTTTATTATGTTTTCAAAATTATGTACTACCACGTATACACGACTTCTTTATTTTATTTAATAGATTTTCTATTTGTGTTATAGCGTGGAAATAATAAATTACCATTATTAAAAATAATTTACGTCCTACCATTAAAAAATCCTTCGAAATTTTGGGATTGTTTATAATCATGTCTAAATAAGCCATAAAAATTATATATTTTCTTACTAAATGTTTTAATAACAATGTTATTTATTAGAAAAGTTAATATATCGAAGTAGAATAGCATTTCGAATTTCGAGGAATTTATAGTGAAAATATTACGTTAAAAGGGATTCAAAAAACTTGGGAACTGGTGTTGCAGACTACACCAGCTTGACAGGTAGAGCTGATATGGTCTGAAAATCGTGCGGCGTGTTCAAGTCTTCAAAAGTTTGCCCACCGTAAACGTCACAAATATCGGATTTAGTTGGTTGGCGCTCCCTCTCTCTCTCTCTCTCTCTGTCTTGCATTTTCCCAGGTTAGTTTCGAACTCAACGTCATTTATCCGACGTAAATTACGAGACGCTCGCGTATATCGCAAAACTGCGAGCAAACTATTATCGCGATACTGGGAAATGAGCACTTCGCCCGTCACGCGATCGAATTTTGCGCGAACGCGACTTGCCGCTCGATGTTAACGTGCGACGTTTTATAAAGTTTTTTACGTCGTTTTATGCCCATGTAAAAATATCGGTGACGTTCTTAGGTGCAAAATTTTTCCTTACGACTCCACAAAATATTCTGGATAGAAACATTTCGACGAAGTATGTATCGTTAAGAAAAACTTTCAGGAAGTCATTTTATATAAACTGTTCGTTTAATAATTTCGACGCACTGCAGTTGGAGTTCTTGACGTTATAAGTTGAAAGGTCTAAACGCGGCGACGCGCGCGGCGATGTCCTCCTGGAGGCGATATTCTTGGCGGGACAAACAAGGGTGAACGCACGTACGAGGAGAGAGCGACGGCTCGCGCGACTGCACGTACTCTTCGCCCCAAATAGAACGCGCCGCCTGTTGGTAAACTTCGCTCTCTCTCTCTCCCGTGCTTCTCGATCGCCATCACGAACGCGCGCCAGCTCGTTTTCTCTCGGTGCGCGCGATTCCTTTCGCTTAAATACAGCCGAGGAATGCTGTGTCTACTAAAACAGTCGCAAGAAACATTTCAAAATAAGATAATTGAAAATACCATCGCTCGTAAGCCCGTGAATATGGATACATTGAACTTCAATCCTTTCGAGTTTAATGGGAGAAGTCTTTGACTACAGAAGAAAACTAAAAATAAAGCTATAACTATAACCGTAACTATAGTTATAGCTGTATCTGTATTTATAACTATAACTATAACTACAATTATATACGATTATAACTACAATTATAACTATATATACTAGGAATATAACTATATATGACTATTTAACACTATGTCTATTTACACTTTTAACTATACTTTTATGATAAATGTAACTATTTAACTATACTTTCATAGTAAAATAGAGAAGTATATTCTACTATTATTCAGATGTGTTATTCAAATTTTTATTATAATTTTTAGAACATGTATCTTTATACATTTTAAATCTGCTTTTAAAAAAATAATTTTAATAGGAAAAAAATTTGATTTAAACGCAGCAAAGCTGTACAGAACAGAATTATACGTTAATCGCGCCAAATATAAAACACACGTGTTTGTTTGATGCACAAAGTCCCGGCTGATTGGCCGACGGGGATGTTTAAAAGTTCGAAAATACAGATACGAAATATCAATGAACTCTGCAATAAATTGTAACTCGGATAAAATTGGAGTGGCGTCCCGAAAATTGTTCGATAGCTACGAAAATGTGAAGCTCCGCACGTGTAGAAAAGTAACGCTTCTCAATCCGCGTAAGGCAGCGGAAGCTACGAAGTGAAAAGTTCCAACGACGGCCGAAAGAGCAGTCGTTCTCCTTCGCATCCAGTTCTGAGCGGCAGCCGGAAAAATTATTTTTACTTCAATCGCGAGTGTGTGTGCTACGTCGCAGTTGTCGCTTCGTACCATTGTGAGTTTCTTAAAGATTATATTCTACAATATTTTTCTACTTCTGTGATTTTTTTCGCACAGTGTTTCTTTCGCGAAAAAAAAACGCTGAGTTGTTCTAGAAATTGCAACAAATTTGGTGATAATTCGGACTGAGTGCTCTATTCTTATAAATATTAAGTTATTATCACGAAATGAAGAATCTCAGATTTGACTAAATTGCTAAGCATTAATAAATTTGGTGAGACAATTTCCAAAGCACTGAACTTGGTGTTGTGGAAATCAACAAACGAGTGGCAAATGTCCAAAATGTTGCGAATAGAATTAGTGGGCCTACTATTGTTGGCCTGCACGCAAATTCTTACGGAGCACCGCGACTTTCATGAATCACGGGATCAATATGGTTACCATCAGCGACACTCTTTTCACGACACTCAGGAAAGAATAACGAGGGAGGTGCGCGTCAAGGAAGGCCGATTACGCGGCATGGTGGTCCAACCCAGAACCAATCACAATTTGCAGCTGGTCGACGTCTTTCTCGGTAAGTTTCAAAACGCCATTACGTTTAATTATAAAGAATTATCGTTTACATATAGGTAGATAAGAAATGATTCATTGCTTCGCGAGAACCTTTAACTTTCCCGTTGCGTTACATTTAATGCTAAAAATGGACGTTGATCCTTCGAAGAAAAGATGCATAGAAAACAACCGAACCATATACCATTTATATCGATTACATTTAACTCGATGGAGACGCCATGCGCCAAGCTGGTTGACGCAAAGCCGTCGTTTCATATGCAACAACCTACTACAACGGTATCTCGATAACGTTCCGATACTCCGAGGGAACTCGGCTCCGGTCAGTGAGCAAAAGTTTCCTGGCAGCTGCATATATCCGCGCTTTGAGAATCCCGATACGTCAAAGGATCCAAAACGAGGAGCGCGCGCGCCCGCGCGCGTCCGTGTATTTCGGGAACAGATATTACTGCCGTCTCTTCGCGGCATGGCATGGCACATCTCTCCCCTCTGGTTTTCTCCGTCTTCGCTCTCGACTCGACTCGCTCGACGCTGCGCTGCGTGGCGTCCGTCAACTTGCACCGCCACGCGTCAAATTGCATCCGCGTGTGCATCCGTATATGCAAAGCCGAGCCTTTCTTGAGGTTGATCCGCGCACTTGAGTCGCTTCTCGCTAAAAACCTGTCAACCTTGATAAAAATAACTGAATTAAAAAGCACCGATGGGAATTGCAATCACGAAATTTGATTAAATTGAAAACCGAATCGAGGTCGGATAGAATTTAAATGGGAATTGATATTTAATTGTGTTAAATAAAATTACATTGGAATTTAATTATAATTAAATTTCAACTGATATGCAGAGAAACGATATTCAGCTTAATGAGAGGCGAAGTTAAGTGGCACTGACGTAAATCCTTTTTCAAAAATACATTTAACGCTATTAATAGCAAGCACCGGTGAATAGTTTGTTTCCTCAAACACATTTGTTTTGTAATGGAGATGTCAGTTACCGTATTAGTTTGGTATTACGCCGTGAATCTATGGAACCAGTGTGCAAGGCAGTCCTCTCCCCTGTGTTTTAGGAGTTCCTTACGCGGAGCCTCCCGTGGGATCCTTCAGATTTTCTCCGCCACGCTCACCGCAACCGTGGAGGGGGGTGCGGCAGTCGCAGGAATTCGCCCCAGTTTGCCCGCAAGTCTTGCCGAATCTTCGTGAGGAAGTAAAACCGGGCAGGTACGAGTACCTGGAGAGACACTTGCCGTACCTGAGAAACCAGAGCGAGGACTGTCTGTACCTCAACATCTACGCTCCCCATCAGGCCGAAGGTGAGTGCGAGAGTGGTTACGGAAGAATAGGAGTAATAGTATTGTCGCGGAAGTCATTTGGTATCGATACCGAAACTGGATCCAATCTACAAAGTTCGGGCACATTGAGAAGTGACTCAATGCTAACTCATCTGTTTCTGACAAATTATTGAATTAGATGAGAAATTTAAGATCGCGATGTAGCAGAATCTTCATAATTCAGTTTAAACTTATATTTTGGGTTATACAGATCAATATTCAGCTTAAAATACTATTTTGAGTTACACAGATCAATATTCAGCTTGATTGTACTATTTTGGTTATAATGATGTTTACTCGAATTTAATAACCATTTCTATTATAACTTCCAATTAGATTGATTCAATTTAGGAACGAAATGTTCTCATACTTAACAAATTTAATGGGAAATTTTTTATTCACATAACTTATCATTGCGGGCGTACAAAGTATAAAAGCGAGTAACACCAAAGTATTTTACATCTCTACTGTATATAATTCGCGAACACGATGATCCTCATATTCGAAGTCCGGATAACCTGCAGGTGGAATAATCCTTCGACAAAAATGGGAAAAATATCCCGGATGAATTGAAACTTTCCTCCGGATTTTCCCTCGCTATAGCAAACGAAACATGGACTATCCAACTCGAAAAAAAGGGAGGATCGGATCGACCGTCCCGTCTCGTCCCATCTCGCGCGGGCTCGCGCGATTATGCGGGTGCATTCGGCTCTGCAACGAGCTTTTCCGCACGGTCAACTGCGTAAAACAGCTGCCATCGATTTACGCGAGGGCCGGCGTCACGGTGGAAGGAACGGTCACGTTGGGTTCGGCTTTCGCGTGCGCGTTATAAATTCATTCCTCCCCCCTTGCGTTCGTATATATTCATTCCGCCAGTCGGTCGCTCGGTCGGTCGCCCCGCCGCGCCAACGTGCGTATTCACCGTTTTACAATACCGTCGGCTCGAGTGGGTTAAAACTCGCGTCGCCAGGCCATTTATGAACGTATGGAAATATCTGCAAGATATCCAAATCGAATTGACCGGCGGGGGCTATCGCCTGCTTGCTACGAGAGGTATCGCTCGCAAAACCGCACCATCGCGCCGTATCAGCCCGTTTGTTTCACGCCGCGATACATCCGCCATGAGCTGAAAATTTTTTTTCTATTGCATTTCCATGACGGAATATGATTTTGAATTGAACTCTCATTTTTCGATATCCACTTTAGAATTTCCCCCACGTTTCGCATGAGATCAAAACCGATATAAAAATATTCATGGAAAAGAAATCGATACTGCCTAATGTTCCTTTTTCATAAAGCTTCTAAATTTCTTATGACTCAAACAGTTTAAGGTAAAATTAGGGAAAATTTGGTTGAATCGCAATCTTAGGTTTCTAACGTTCAATTTAATTTTCGTGTTGAAAATATTTCAGATATAATAATCTGGTCTGAATATGATATAATTCGCTTATAAGTTAACTTCCGCGAGAATGTGGCGTATCTTCTTTATCTATGTCCCCCTCCTAATGTGGAAATAGGTTAATCTTTTTATCGCTGTTTGTGAAGTACACTTCTTATCTCCTCAGATAAACACGATAAGCAGCACTGGATTTCCTCAGCGTTTTCTCGGGTAGGCATTAACCCGTTAAAGCAAGCTCGGTTCAAGGATACCGCAATTACGCAATTGCGGCGGTCTCGTTATCTCGCGAGATCAATATTGCGAGTCGTCATTGCAAAAAATAAATTAAAGAACATAATATAAATTTGATACACACGGCGTTCTCTGAAATTCTCGAAACTTTATGGAAACTCTGTATTGTCCAGTATTAAACTTTATTAATTCCGCGAACTCTCTTTATTTCCCAGTTTATAGAAAATATTCACGCGTTGTGATAATTACACTTCCCAACACAAAATAATTCAAGCAATGCGATACGTCGGAGTTATCGCGTTGCTTCCTCCCTCAGAGCGATACAAACGCTTTGTTGGAAAATTCGGTGGATATGTTTTAATTTTGTTTCTATCTCAACGACGAGCTTAACTCATTAACGAGCGCATTAAAGGAGAAACCGCAAACACGGAATTACTATTACGCGTCTCGAAATTATACCATCCCGCGAAAGATACGTCGGGATTTGCGGGATAAAGCGTGCGTTGATGACTACTATACCTTCCTCGGTGGAACTCTCTCTCTGCTTTGGGGTTGAGTGAAGCTAGAGTAGAAAACGTGTGCACGAGTGGTACTCGAGAAAGTCGCCAGAGCCAACACGAGCCTTTGTACCGCCTTGTCGTTCTACGGTTCCAACGAGACCAATTTCTCTTCCATCGTGCTTTATCCAAGAAAGGAAAGAGCACGGCAGAGCGGGAGAGAGAGAAGGTGGATAGAAGGGCGCACGTACTTGCAGTACTTTGTGCTTAGTGCCCTCACCGAAGTACGTATATAATTATATCGGCGATGCATTCATATGCACGCGTACTTCATTTCCGAATGTGAAGCGATTTTCGCTTGTTAATTTTAACCTAAGCCCTCCTCTCTGCAATCTATTCGCGAATGCGCCTCAGCGCCTGCGTTTATTAGGCTGAAATAATTAAGCTGTTCTTATTATTGTTGAAGTAAAAGTAAAAACAAAGCAATTTTTGATCATTCTAAAGTAAAAAATAATAATAATTAGTTTTTCTCGATTTTAATCGACATATTTTAACTTGAGATAACTTGTTAGATGCATGGAAAACTAAAACGACTAAATAAACGAGAAGTTGAATGAACTTTATATAGCCTAATTATTCGCATAATTACGCATTTTTTTAGAGCATGAATATCGCTGCGAGTCGAGAGATGCGTAAGTAAACACGAAAATTATTTATTCCGTAAACGCTGTATAAATTTGCCTTTCATGGGAGTGAATCGTTAGAAGAAATTCTTACGATGTCTCTTTGAATCCTGCAAATTAATGGAAGGCAAATAACCGGTCTTCTGAAGCGATGAGTATGTTTAATTCTTTTAGAGCTTGCTCTCCGCCTATATAAGTTCCGACGTGGGTGTGGGATCAAATGTCAATTGAATTCGAACGCCGAATTTACTATTCTCTGTTTCGTCATATGTAAAGATAATCCTTGGATCCTTCAAACCCTCGCTTGCTCGCGATTTCTGATCCTCTTTTGGATTGTCTGCTCGCGGATACGAATCTGAATATCGGAGGTGAGAAAGCTAGCATTTGAGATTCTCCTTACGGTCGACGCATATTCGGTACGTCGCCATATTGCTTCCCTCCGCCTCTGTAAATCTCGCCCTCCGGCGAGATTTATTTGACTGTGCACCGTAGATCGAGCATTAATGAATTTTCCGATATTTTACAGCGCCGCAGGGGTTGCGATCGCTGAAAGCCAACCCCCCTCTCCCCTCTCCTTTAGCTTCGTATTTTTCGCCTTCATTCTCATCCTTTCTCACTCAAACGTATACGTATACTTTCTCCTATTTCACTCATGTATATCTATGAGTAGCAGAAGCCTGAGAAATAAGAGAGAAAATCGTGGTTCGTATTATAAAATTGTACATATGAAACGCCATTTAACAATTACACATATAATGCTATAAAATAATAGTGGGAGAAAATACAAAATACTCTTATCTAGTGCAAAATTCAACTCCGTAACTTTTTATTCTCAAATCGATTATTTCTTTAATCGTTATATAAGTTATTTATTATAATTTATATTATATAGGTAATTGATCACGCGCTGGTCGCGCGCATTAGGTATTCTTGATTGAATAGAAATATTCCGATATAGAGCGCTTAAAGATAGTTAACAAAAGTACAATTTACATAATTTATATTACTTTACATTCATTAATATTAAGTATATGTAAGAAAAATACAAAGTTTTAATAATAAAGTATTATACATGTATAATATTGAAAAATACTTTGTATGTACTTTATATACGAGGGAAGCTTTCCTCTTATGCTCTTCTAGCATCTTTTCTCCCCTAACGAGTAACGGTAACGAGTTATACTTTGTACAAAAAGTAACGGTAATAGTAACGCATTACTTTTATGAAAGTATCATTTCCAACTTGGACTAAATCTTAATTTTAATTTAGAAATAAGTATAAGTTAGATCAGTGTTTTCGGGGAGGGGCGGATTCCCTCAATTGCCAATATAAAGAGAAATATAATAAAATATTTGGTGATATTATTAATTAATACATAACTTTTATTTGCAAACCTATACGTTGAGCTATGTAAATGTGTCAAAGAAATAAAAAAATATTTAATCATTACATATTCGCAAAATGTTCAAATAAAATGTTCAAATAAAGCTATATGTATAATGATTAAATATTTTTTTATTCTTTGATCTATTTACGTAACTAAACATATATAAATTTGCAAATAAAAATTACGTATTAATTAATAATATTATGAAATATGTTTATTCTATTATTTTTATTAACCTTCATCTTTTTCATCCGTAAAAATCCGTTTAAAGAATTTATTTTGAAATTATTTACAACATTTTCACCGAAGAATACGTAAATAGAACGTGGATAGTTTTTGGAAGTTTACTCGTATCTACAATTCACATCACAAACATCATCTTACCGTGGGAAAAGAGAATATTGTAACGTTTACACACTCCAGTGAAGTTCCAATATTTAAGATAGCGAACATATCTTACGCGGAGAGCAACCCCTTTAACGCGCGGCCGGCTGGACGGTTCCGATTTATTCGTGCAGTCTCGGCACATCTCTCATCGCCAGACCGCGGTCTTTTCGCATGCTCTCGCCAGTCGAAATGCACTGGGAATAAGTTTTGTTTACCAACCGCGCCGCGAGCGGTTTCAAATTAAAACGTCGGAGCGGCCGCGTGGGGCCGATTTTTCCGCCTCTCACGATGAAGGTACCATAAATCCGTAACAACGGCCCCTCAATGACGCCGCTGGGCGTTTATGAAGGCCAAAGAGGAGAGACGTAATAAATGAGGGACGATTAGCGGAGCACAG